TAGTCTATTCTCAAATTTCCAAATAAAACATGGAGATTATTGAAAATTTATTCACTGTTTCTTGAATTCACGGATTCGTTAACGCCGTGAATATAGCGAATATTAGCACCGCGAGTTATTTTCCCCATATACAGTATATAAATATAGATCTATGAAAAAACATTGCTAATTTCTATAGAAAAAAGATTTTTTTGTGTTATTTATCCAAGTCATCGGTGTCCTTAGGAGATAATGTGACTGCTCCGTGTCGCCCGATACTGTGTCGGCCGATCCTGTTCTTTCAGCCGACAAGACCAGAAAAATTTAGTCGCCCGACCATCGGTTTAAATGTGACCTAGGCATATGCGGGGTCCCGATATAAATAAATACTATACATCACTTAATTTTCTCGACATCTTATTTTTTTGAGAGTTAGACATTAACTCTTTATTAGCCAAACAAAATTTTCACGAATTGTGGTCACTCTTCTATATAATCTTATCGAATAATAATAAAGGCGAGAATGATATTTTCGCGAACACACTGTCTATATATATTGTTAATGAGAAACAAAGCATCTATTGAATATCAACTTGATAAGTTATAGATTGTTGTAAATAAATGAAAGATAGGTCTAAATAATAATCCATTTAAGTAATTGAACCTATTTAGTTGTCAAACTCAATATTTTTAAAAATGTGACGGAGCCACTTTGTGTTTTGTTTTTACAATCAAGGAACAGTTTGTGTAATATTACTTAATTATGTCCCTACGTTTTTCAATGTTTAATCATTCAATCATTCTGAGCACATTTATTGACCTTTCTATGAATTATTTAACAACTTAAAAAATGGTAAGAATTCTTTAATTCTCTACAGTATACATCTGTTTAAAAACATTCAATAATTGTTTGCCCATTTCAACTTAAGCATAAGTAACAACTGTAGATCTGTCCAAAATTATTTTCACCTCCATCAATTAATTTACAATGACGGCATGTCAATAATACAATATTTTCATCTTTTTTTATCCTAGCCACTTTAAGTGATTATTTTTGCCTAGAGATTATTTGTACCTTATGTTAACAAAAACAATAAATCTTTGTTAGTGAGCTAATTAACGTTGCAGATATTGGTATTAATTCCAGATAACCTCAGTATGATTATAGAGCTAACACAGCTGATAATAGTGGTCCTGGTTCTAATACTTTCTCTCGTGTCAATATTACAAAAAAGGTTTGTATGTTTAAATCTATTTTCATAGAAAATTTGGAATCCTGATGGTACGAAAGCGCAGAACAATTACCTTTCTATTGATAATGGCGTTGGAAATGAAATTTTTTTAAATTCATAATACATGTAAAATTGTTCTATAGTACAAACCTCAAGAGATAAAATAATGATATTAATTTGTTCTAATGAGAACTCATAATGAGTTACTTTCTTGGTGTTTTGGGTTTGCTGTCTTGTTCAGATTAACTGACATTTCGTCAATAAAAAAAAATAATTATTCCAAAATAATTAAATATGGGGGGCTTGTAATTGTAAAAAGGATACATTAAACAACTCTGTAGAAAATTTGAATTTTGCATTTCCTTTCATTGTTCTTAAACGAATTTGTTCTTAACGTAAATAAAAGAAATAAAATTTGTCAAAATATGCAAGAAACATACTGTTATGTTCATTTATCCCGCTTCAGACAAATTTGTCGATTACTGATTGGACAAAAGCTAATCACATGACGTCCTGAAATTTTCCGTATTACATCTCCGTTACGTCTCCGTCGAGGCGTAATATGAAAATCGGGCACGCGATTCCGTTCGAAGCGTTGTTATTGTAAATATAAATGGCGGCCAAGAAACGGTTAACGTAGGTAGTTTAGTTAAATTTCTTGTAACCGTAACGATATTTTATGTTGATTGTTATTGGATTAAAACTAATATTTTCATAATATGCACAAATATATTTTTTATATTGAAAAAGGTCTTCAGCGGGATAAATTCGTTACACAGTCAGTTAGTGACCTAATACGGATTCATACAGGGTATGAAATGGAAATCCGTATTGGGAATCGGCTTCGCCTCGCCCAATACGGATTTCCATTTCACACCCTATATGAATCCGTAATAGGTCACTAACTGACTGTGTAACTAATAGTACATCCCTATATGCTTGAACCTAGTTAAAAACCAAGGTTATTCTTCGGTGTATATCTTTGGCAATAAAATTTACATCGCATTGTAAAATGTACAAATGGATCTCAACTTCTGTTTCGCATTGGCAATAAATTCGTGAAATATACTGATAGTATATGAATCTGAAGAGAGAAAACAATAATCTCAAAATATAGTTTTGAAAAGTGTACTTTCCATCTAGCTTGGGTAAAGAAGATTTAATCAAAGAAATTAATTTTTGAAAAAAAATCTACTTTCATAGGATGATAATTTTTACAAATATTTCGACCTGGGGAGCATTTGATGTAGAACATATTCATTTTCCATGCATTCCATTTATTCTCTTCATTCATACAAGTATTATGAGCAAACTTAAAACACAAACACGCTTACATACACACAAGCATCTCACGTTAGAAGCATAAAGCAATCAAGAGCTTCAGCTGAAGTGTATTGGTAGTATCGTATGGTTCGTATTAACATATCATGTTTGCATTATGGTATTTGTTACTTCATATGCTAAAATATGCTAAAAAATTATAATATTTATTATATATTGAGCAGAAAATATGAAAAAGAATTTTAAATATGTTTTCAACACCACAGGCTAAACCTACTTTCAAATAATGACAAAGAATAAAAATAATTTAAAATTCTAAAAATTAAATTTCAGACAACAGGATGCAAAATCAGCTGTTATTTTAGTACATTTTGTTGGCGACAGATGTGTGTTCTTTCTTCCCCCTAAAAGACAGGACAAAAAGGGATGGATAAAGGTCCATAAAGCGGAATGTTTTTGTGATCACACCAGCCCATATAACAAGCAAACATCTGTACTGTGATCTTAATAAACAAGACGCGCCAGAAGTGACAACGTAGAGAAATCAAATTGAATTGAGGGTTATCTGTCTGTATTTATAATATAAATATTATATATAACGTATCCATTGTGTTTAAAGCTCAAAATTGATGCTTGACTCTAATTAAATATTTAATTAATATGCTTGGAGTGATTTCAGTGTTCAGTAAGACTGGTTGTTAAAAAGGATACGGCGATTTCATTACGCAAGCCATTTACGGTATAAGCTAGTCTTGGAAAATAGGGAAAATTGAAAATTACAAGATTGGTAAACATATCTAGAGATATACAGAACATTGAGAAATAATTCTTATTTCTCACAATTTTCACAGAAGCTCATGATTTTTAGTCTTGGTTAAAATATAGATATCATTGACTTTTTGAATAGTAGATCCATAGACTGTTTGACATATTTGCTATATGAAAGTCTAAATACTTATTTTAATTTATGTCTGTATCATACGATGATCCTTCTTCAAGAACTACATAACTACATTTTCAATTACGAATTCCAGTACTATATAGTATCTTGTGTGAAGAACGATTTTAAAACAAAGTAATTAAAAGTAATGTTTAAAAGGCGATCTACTAGTGTATGATAAAATATTTAAAAAGAAATATTAAAGGTTTTTCGAGTTTTTTATTTAAGAAGTTGCCTAAATGATGTCAAAAAGCCTAGTCTTGATGTTTATCTTTACTATTTATCGCTTTAATTTTAATTATAATAGTGTAACTAACTAATAAATCAGAATGTGAACTGTGTATATTGTTATACATGTGGTTTTTTACTTTCTAGATATAGTAGATATAGTTAAAAATAAATCTAAAGAGCTTTTAAGATATTGAGCATACTTTAGAAAGGTAAAGGTCCATACTAACCAAAATTATATTTTGATTTATATAAATGTATTTCCATTTTCGTGTTCTTTTAAAAGTTCATTCATCCACTTATGAATTTGCCGGATCCAGTCCTATGATTAGCACACGTCTTATAAAAAATATCTATATTAATGCTTAAACACTTTAAAAAGTATACAAATTGCATAATATTTTTTTTTCCGATGACAATTCTAAGTCATCGATGTATGTCTCTCAGAACTTGATTGAAACAAAAACTATTAACAATATTGAAGAAGTCTCAAAAAAAAGTTTTCTAACAAACTGTTGGAATTCTAATGGACACTAATTGTACTTCTTTATCAGCTGACCGGTTTTATATTCCTTTGAATCAGAAGATATTCAAAAACTTTTACTTGCTTAGAGGAAAACAATATTGAACATTCAGATATATAAACGATGTTTTATCAATTAACAATAGTTATTTTCATTGTCGAATCGAAGGAGAATATTCCAGTGAATTTGAAATAAAAGACACCACAGAGTCATTCACATCTGTTTCGTATTTTGATGTTATGCTGACTACAGATGATAAAGGCTAACTAACAACAAAATTTTATGAGAGGACTTCAGCTTTTCTATCTCCAATTTTCCTTATTTATGTAAAGATATTCCAATATGATATGCTAGAGATGTTCTTGTCACAAAACTTATTCGCCACTCAAGACTCTGCTTTTGGTACGATCAGTTATAAAACAAGACAGGCTACTCATTGATAAGTTAATATTACAGGGATTTTAACAACCTCGTTTAAGGTCAGCATTTCGTATATTTTAAGGTCGTTAAAATGACCGTGTTAACAAATATAATAGCATTGGATCGTGTTTTTGGCTGACATATTTTATGTCAATTGTTAAGCCTTTCTTTTTATACTCATCATTATTGGTATAACGTATTGATATCAAGTACAAGTTACTTTACTACTTCCAAGTAATTGGAAACTAATTATAATTTTCAATCAAAATACGAATAATAATTGTCCTGGATCCTATATGTTACTTTATTACAAAATCACTTGTGCAATAATTTTAATTTTGAAATAAATATTTCCATTGGTTAACTTCCTATATAAGCTGGAGCCAGATGTCACGGTGTGGAGGAACTTCTAACAAGGAAGTTGTTGTATAATTTTTTGTGTGTTGTTCGAATTTATTTAAGTAAGGTTGATCAAATATCTTAGGTTTCTTAATGCACACTTTGGTTGGAGAGCCTTGACTGGAAATAGTTCTTATATTAATGGTAAGAATAATACACATATGATATAAAACAAAATCAAAATTATTTTTTCCTCGAAAATGACAGGTTTTACCTTAAAAACAAACTTAAATTACTTTAAATTTTATCCAAATTTTATATTCGAACAGTTATTAGAATTCAGACACAACCAGTTCACTAAAATAGGATAACTTACAAAGCTTCGATGTCTTGCACTTTAGCAGAAGGATGGCAAAAGAAACTGATGAAAGTGTTTACCAGCCTCGCTATTTTAAATGTGGCGTATGGTGAGTAAAACTAGACAAATACCCGTATGTCTAGTTGCATAATTGCTATTTACCATCAAATTTTACAGTCAATGAAATGTATGTTTGTTAATATATGTACTCGTTTATGTTGTTTATTTTTATTCAAAGGGAAAGATATTTCAAATATAGGACCCAACGAAACAACAACAGATAGTACAAACAGTACAGGCATGTGGTATTTAGTTCATATTTTAGTTCAACTTATTCCAAATAAGATTCTGTTATTTTATGTTAAATATGACGACCAAGAAGGATGTTACGTTTCTATTTTAAAACCTTTTCTTAAGTGAAAGTTAAGTAGCATATGTAATTAATTTTTTCCTTCCTTATTTCTTTTTAAGGGAATATATTTCTTTTTCAGAACCAACCCCAGCTGAGCCATCAATTTTTGACGTCATCAAGCGGATACAGCCTTACGTCATTTCCGCTGGAGTTGGAATATTGTTTCTACTTTTGATCATCAATCTAATATCTGTCATACAAAGAAGGTGAGATAATTATATCTATTTCATTAAAAGATGAATCTACCTTTTGACTAATTACATATTGATCATTATGTCCTTAGTCTGATATTTTCAATGTATACACATACATATGTAGTCATTAGAAAAATTAAAATAAGGAAATACAAGTTTGGCTTTCCAGAAAGCCTGAAAAGTCATCTCTTTGGTATCAATAATGTCAAAGAAATAAAACAGAAAGGGAAATATTTTAATGCAATGAATATATGGATTATTACACCTGAAGTTCCCAAATGACTTATTCAGCAAACTCCACAGTAAAGTACGCAGTTTCTTTTGGCCGCAGTATATATATAGAAAGCATGGACGTCTGCGAGAGAACCCAAGGCGATTTTTGGTGAAATTTCATTCTAGCGGTCTTTGTGCTTCTGGGTGTTTACAATTTACTTAAATTCAAATACTTTCCTTGAACTATATTTTCTTAACACAATACGGAATTATCAACAATAATTATCATTCATTTTAAAGCAGCTAAGCTAATCATTTAAGTTTGACAGGAATTAATTTAATAAATCCAATTACAGACTAAAAAATTTACATAAAATTAGCGTTGACCACTCTTCCTTCTTTTTTTGCAGAATCTAATTGTAAGCTTGTTCTTTTGTGCGAGAACCAGTTTTCCCTTCGCGTCAACAAATCTATATATAGAAATCACGTCATTGTCAATTCTCCTTGTGTGGCTTACCAATTTAATAAGGCATAGTATTTAGGATCAATATATATACGACACACCGAAACTATAGATATTTATAAGCATCGTACTTCTTTTCTAAAATTTTCCTTGGCTTTCAAATATGCCTAAACCGAAAGTAGATCACACACTCCTAAGCTAGTTCTTCTAAAAGAAAACCAGTTTACAGGCTACTTGGAACTCTGTAAAACATCGAGGACTCCCGAAAGATTAA